AAATCAGAAAAACAGGTATAGAAAACAGGTATTTCAGTGCTCTCTGTACTTATTATCACTCTGTAGCATTAAAAGCAAGAAACTCAGTGATGGTAATAAATACATATTGCCTCTGGAAGCAACTGCATGTTGTGATAACATTGTCCATTCGTCTTTACTGTGAGCTTTCTCAGAGTCCATTTTTACATTGCAGTATCTTATTATGCAGGCATTTTATGAAACAGCATCTTATGCATTACTCATGAGATAACAGCCTCGATAAATAAAAAAGGGTGTTGCTGAACCAGAAAATTGAACCTTACTGGTTTGTTCATAGTCACTCCCAAAGATATAAATTTAGCATACTGATCAACAGCTAACCACTTTAAACAAATACGTGCTTGTTATTCAATAGCGGAGCATGTGGTAGCACAGGGTCCACAGCACTAGGTCAGGTCTACAGCATATTTGGGTCAGAATTCATGTCCAGTTTTGGCCACTGCCTGCTGCTCTAAAATCAGGTAGGAGAATATTGTGGCAAGCACATGTGGAATAATTTTCTCCACAAAGGTGTGATCCTTTTGGCTAAAATTAACTTTGCCTCCATACTACAAGGCTTCATACTCCTTCCAGATTTCTTGCCAGCATTAGCTATTGCAGCACTGCTGATTTTTGTTAGTCACAGAAATGTTCAGTTCATCTTGGCTCTTACTAAGAGATCGCTCTTTTGACGAGGTCTATGCAAAGAGATCCAGGCAGACCTACCTTCATGCCACCTGTGCTCTGAGAAGTTTCCTGTAGTCCTGATAATTAAGGGCTACCCCTAAATGTTGCTATTTGGTTCCTTCTCCCATTCTTGATCATGAGAAAATATATATTAGCTTTCTAATACGTAGATGAGGTCTAGCAAAAAGCCTTGAGGAAGTCATACCTTTATCTTCTGTCATGCACAAAATTGACCCCCTCCAGTTCTCTTTTTTCCCTCTCTCTCTGTGCCAGCTGTTGATCCATGACACTATTTTGCTTTTTACTCCAGTTTTACTTTCACAATCCGGATTAATTATGTCATTTTCCCCCTCTTCACATCATCTTTATTTCCATACTAAAATCTGATTAGAAAGAGTTAAATCTTAAGAGTGAAAATTTCCTCTCATGTGTATGAGATACTCTCGTAAAGGATCGTTTGAATTCTTAGGTGTAACCAGGCTGTATGAAGAACTACAGCAGCATCTATGCATTGTTTATCCTTGGTTTTGTTATCACTAGTGTTGTCATTATAATAGAAGAAATCAGAAATACAGGTTTAATGGCTAAAATTTCCATTCCATGTTTTACATTTTCTTTGACTTCTCTGTGATGAACATCCTATTTACTAAAACGATTCTTTTAAAATCTTTCTCAGACTGCTCCATTTAAATGGTTTTAAAGAGTTATAAAGTATGATTTAAGCATGCTTTATTTTGAAGGGACATAAGCTTGCAAATCTGTGAGCGACTGTTTGGAGTACAATTTTAAGTATATATCTCCTAAAAAACAAAATGTCTGAGGTATTAAGAACTTATGTACTTTAGTATTATTAATAAATTGCTTTCAAGTATCTCGTGCTTACAGAAAAGAAATGTTGCAGGGATGGCCTTAGTATCATGTAATTAATTTTCTGGTGATATGTAAATGAATCCTGTCTGTACATTATATCTTATTTTCACTTTTCACAGTTGTGGGAGGCTGCCGTCTGGGAATTTCTGAAAACTCATTCAAAATTTAAAAATTATTAGGATTGTAGACAAAAGAACCCATGCTAGCATATATTAAGAGGTCTCGTAGAACCTGGTGGGAGATGGGACTTGGTGACTCTTGCTCTTAGAGAAGTGAGGTGCAGTCTGCCAGGAAGGTAAGTGAGGCAGAGAGGGAGATGTTGAGAGAAAGAAGTTGGGATATAAGTATGTTATAGCCAGCAGAGAAAAAAGAGCATCATGGATGGATTTCTCTGAATGCATTGGTGAATGTGCATCGAATTTTCAAGTGCCATTTAGGAGCTGAAAGATGCCTTTGAACAGTACTCTTTGCTGCCTACAATTCTATTATGAAGAAAACATTTCTTCTTTACAAAATGGTCATGTCCTACCTGTGATTAATACAGGACTTAATAGTCTGAAACACAAAGAATCGTGATGATAATAACTATGGTTAATTAAGAAAGACAATTTTAGAGAATTAAGGTAACAGAAGCATTGAAGTGTTCAGAGCCTTCTGAAAACTAATTTTGATGTTTGCTTGGACACACTGTTTACAGCAGGGAGAGCAGGAGGTTATCCCAGAAAGACTGGAAAAACTTGGTGTCCTACTGGCAGTCTGAATATTCAACGTTAGGATAAACTATTAATTATGAGTAGCAGCAGTTCTTGGAGAGCTAATTTTATTTATACTGTTTATATGAACTACTTAAGAATACCAGTGGCTTTATTTTAGTGTTAGTAGTGACAATTGTCATGTTCTATTCTCTTTGTCCTCTTCTGGGAATTTATATTACCTTTAATATGCATGTTGTTCTTCACATAAGGTACATATTTCAGACAGATTTGTTCTGTCTTGCTGGTCTTCATACTTGTATTGAGATACCTCTCATTTTAGGTAGCATTCTGTTCATTCTATATTGCTATAATTGTAAAACTGTTCTCAGATGGCACTCTTTTAGATTGTGGAACAGCTAAAACATACCCAGATATCCTAGGGACTGATTTTTAGTTTTGATTTGTAAGATTCAATAGCTACAGTTCATTTTTGTCCATGTCCAAATTTTCCAAAACTTCTGTATTTTGGGAATTTTGAACAAAAGGCTGTAATTTAATGCCAGCATTTTAGTGGAAAAAAGCTTGGGCAAATTTGGTTTTTCAAAATCTATTCAAATTTTGAATGTGAAAATACACAAAACAAAAGATTATTTGAACTGCCATCATTTGGTGTAAATCATCAGATTTCTTAGCGAAAGAGATTTTAGAAATAAAGTTTCTTCGTATAGGTTATTTGTAATCAGTCGGTCACATCACATCTTACTCTGGGCCGGCAACTTCTTTAGAAGTCTTTGGGACGCTGTTTTTTCTGTAACACAACGGGAATCCTTTGTGAATCCAAGCTGAATTGGTGAAACGATTGTATGTCCTCTGACGCAGAGGTAGTTGGAAGCAATGTGAATATACCTCCAGAGGATTTAGCTAGCTCAGCAAGGCAACTCAATGAGAAGAACGAGTGTAGCTGGACGAGTGGGGTTTGGTTTGGTTTTATTGGATAGCGCATCAACCTCAGCTGCTTTCTGCTGCTTGTTTCGATTCCTGTGCTACCTCCCAAGTTGTGCCAGTCCGACTGCTTGTGTCATTGGGTGATGAATAAAGTCTAGGGATTGATTTCAGTTTAAAATAACCTTTTTTTTTTCCCTGGTGCTGCTGAAAAAAGTGTTTGTCAAACTGCAGCCTAAAGGATTTCTATTGGACTGGTAAGAAATGCAGGAGTTAGGTCGCCTGTGCAGCCTAGCAAGCCAGTGAAAAGGAAGACGACAGTAAGCGTTGCCATGGGAGAGCAAATTCTTTTAAGCACGTTTCTTGCTGGAACTATAGACTTGGATTTGTGCGCAATGGGGCTGCTGCTTGGGTATTCTCCCCGCATCCATTGAGAGAGAATTCATGTATGTTCTTTATAAATAAACCCGATTACATGCAGTGAAATACCTGCCTCTTGTCATCCATTCCTCCCCATAATGGGAGCAGCCTGGCAGTCCCCCAAACCCTGACTACCATTCCTGAGGGAAAGGTCACTGTCACATCGGTGGGGGTTTGGTGATCACCCAGAAACTCAGGTTTTGGGAGTGGAGCCATAAGGATATTCTAGGCTTGCCAGTTCATTTAAAAATAAAATATATGGATTTGACAGAGCATTGTGATGGGATCTGCCGTTTTCCCTGGCCTCAGGAGGCCCACAGCCTTTTGGCAGGGTTTGTCCTGGCAGAGAACATAAGAATGAAAACAACATTACTGAACCCGTTTGTTTAAATTCCTACTGAAGCTCTACAGTGAAAGACCGAGGAGGTTATTTACCAAACCCATGCTGTGAGGATGATATAAATGTCTCAAAAGTTAGCTTGGTTTAAACGACACTGAGGCAAGACCCCGAGCATTACCACCCTGCTAGCTTGCAAATTCTAGATTTTGCAGAAGAAGAAAATTAACTTTTCCATTTTTGTGTACTGTGGCAAACCCCAAATAGCAATGCAAAAATATTTGCTATTTAAAAAGCAAATACATGTTCCTAATCTTTTCTTTAACATCATCTCTCTTTTGCAATCAGCATTTTGTCTTATCTATCTAGTCTATAAAATAGGTGTCACTTTATGAATTGCCAACAAATCTTGTGCTCTTACTTCCACTGCTCAGGCATTCTCACTGCAATTTGTGTGCAGTCCTCATACATAAAGAGCAAGTCATTGAAGCCTTTGAACTGTTGTCCACTCTCTAAATCACCTGTTTGCCAATGAAAAAGAAATCTAAAAGTTTCTTAACTTCAGAATAGCAAACATATTTCAGAATAAAATAAAAAAGCTTTTTGCACTGCTAGGATACCCTAGTACTGGTTACCACTAGGTCAACAGTAAACACTAGGTGTTTAAAAATGTAGTGGGAGTGATAGTGGAAGGCTCAGATGCTGATACCTGGTTCATTTCTGGCAAGTATTGCAAAAAATGTCTCACCTCTGCCATGCAGGATGCAACAAGGATGCTTGGGCTGCAAACTAACAGAAGACAAAAAATCAACCAAATATACCATTTTCAGGGCTCAGATTTTCCATCATGTTCCAGAAATGGATTGATGTAAGAAAAATTGTTCTGTGAGAGACCAAAAGATGCAACACAATCTGATACATGAACAGTTGTGCTTGAACAAAGTGGCTTTTCAGCTGACAGCTACTCTCCAGACAACTTACTTAGAGGCCAGATGGCCAAAGGGACACATGCTGGAAAGTAATTTAGTACGATGACTCTGCAGAAGGAAAAACTCATAATTCGTATGTGTTTGAAACATCCAAGATTCAATTAATGGAATTAGTATGTAATGCCTAGAGCATTTTGCCTGTTCAGAGCTGTGGACAAGCTTGTTCTCACAGCTCCACTGCAAGGTGAAGCAGTAGACTGTGGTGTGACTCCTGACTCACACACGGCTAATTGCCTCTCCATCTGCCTTCCTGACAATTGATTTCGTCTATGATATCAGTCTGGGCCACTTACTGTTCTGCACCAAGTGATTTTTCTGCCTCTCATCTTGCACTGTGGAGTGGTAGGAAGAGATAAGACCTAAAACACAAGTAGGTATGGACTTTTAGGAGATGCAGGAGAAGTGAGGTTTACTCTTGTCTTATGGGAAGTTGCCCATAGATTTAGATGGGAGAACGACATTAAGTTTTATATCTAGCAGAAAAGGCAGCTTCCAAAGACTGAAGTATTTTTTAGGTTTCTTTAATAAACTATAATGTAATAGTTTCAAGTTCCGACTCAAGTTTTTTTTCTATCAAAAAGTAGATAATTTAGCTCTATTCGTAGTGACCACCACTACAAGTTAAGCTGTCTTAGGAAAACTCTATCACCATCTTCTGACTGCTCAGGGAACTGCAGTGACTAATTTGTATTTAGACTTCTTAAGTCTTACACAGCTTTAGATATTTTCAATATCAAGACTTCGAATATGTGGTTGAGGCTTTATTGATTTCAGTCATTGCCTTTTCAAGCTGCTACTGATGTTGCTTTCTACTGATAAAGCAGCTTTTCTTACAGATTTCGGGGAAAGAATTCAGGACTTTGCTTCCTTTTTAATACCCTTAATACTGTGCTTGAATTCCCACCTGATTCGTGGCAGAGGTTTTGATGACACAATGCACACTTCAAGTAGCAATGAACTGTCTTTGGTTTTCCTCATATTTATTTTTCCCTTAGTATCTGTGAGTCCTTGCTTCTTCCTCCAGTTTTGATATCAGTTAGTAAATCTGGGGTTTTTTTCTATTGGAACATAAAGATTGTTATAAATGAGTTTTGCCAAAAATAAAATTGAGAGCTATAGTCATGCATCCCACTTGCTCTTTGTATTTGGATTTGAGACCCAGTGTGGCAACCAGATGTTTAGTGCTCTGCACTCACCATAAATGACAACTGATTTTTGTTAATGCAATAAGATGAGAAAATTCTTTTAGGCTGGCCAATATCATATTGTACAATGCATGCCTTATCCACACAGCTAGAGAAGAAAGCAAATTAATAATTTATTCAATTACTGGTAGTCAAAACAGTATAAAATATATTTTTCCTGAATTTCTTTCCTCAACTTCTGATTAAAAAAATGTTCAAAGCCATAAATACAGCAATCTCTCCATCCATATCAGCCTCATCTGTCACACTCGCATCTAACCCCTTCATTTACCAGAACTGAGACAGATTTAAGGGGAGCCCCTCTGGGTCTTTAGTTAAACCCTTGGTCATGCAAGCAGCTGTGTGTGTGGAGAAGCCAATGGAGATCTGCACGTGACCAAAAGGCTACTGATGTGCTGCACTCATTAACTGGTTTTTCACGTTTTCTGAGCCAGTGTTTCAAAGAGCAGTGGACTATAGGAGAAAGGCCAAATAATGGAAAGTGTGAGGATAAAGGTGACAAAAGGAGGTAGACTGCTTTCACTGTAGTACCATACAGCACCTTCCATGACTTGTGCTATCACAAAAAAGTGGAGGAATAGAGGGAAGCCAGAGCTGCAGTTATAAACTGCTCGTCAGTATTAATCGCCCAATTTCATGCGTCCCTACTAGGTGTTCTGGAGGATGGAAAATCAGCTCAGACAGGTGTAACTACAGCATCAGCCATAGCTGGAACGCTGAACACCGAGAAGAGGAACAACAGTGGTCCTCAGTGTGCAAACCCCATGGTCCATGGTGCGGGAGCGACAACACAGAGACAGAACGGCTTCAGAGCAGCAGAGGTAAGAGTATAATTACATTCCCTGATGTTCAGCACTAGCTTTAACCAGGTCAAACTTATTTTTGTGACAGTCAAACTGTACTTAATGCTTTCAGATAAGAGAAAATGGCTGCATCACAGCCACAGCATGATTGAGCCTAGCACCTCTGACAATGCCTCATGCCTGAATGGCCACCAAATTGATGTTTTATTCAGCAGACTAACACACACACTTGTTACAGCAAAAAAACCCTACGCTTAGTTTTTTTCAGCTCAGTCCATGCATATGGCATGTATTGTGCGAACTGTTTAATTATCTGAAAGGGAATGTGTTTTTCCTTAATTGCTGCTTTTCTTAAATTATGTGCACTGCACAAACTCTGGTTCATTCAAGGCTGGATGTGAAGCCTGAAAAAGTCAATGGGACTCTTTTCAATAACTTCAGTAGGCTTTGGATCAGATCCCTCCCCCTTCTCCCCCTCACCTACTGTATACTCTACAGAAGGATCATCCAGTGTAACAATAATGTATGAACATCCAAAAAATTGAAAAATTACTTCTGTATTTAGACGTACCAGGAAGTATGGGCAAAGTCCCACCACATATTAATAACATGAGTGTTGACTGTAATGGGACTACTCAGTGAATTGTGGGTTCCTGACCTGGGGCCCTATGTCTTTGAATGTATCCTCCCTCCTTTTTCTAGCTAAGCTACATTCAGTAATATATCTCTGTACTGTTGCAACCCAGTGCAAAGGAAATTTCTGATGATAAGTAGGGCATTTATTATTCTACACATCTAATGCAGGTGTCTAAGAAAGGAAGGTAATTTGTCTAAACTTATAGTCAAAAAAAGAAATGTGTTTTCCTACAGTGAAAGTGTAGTATCTGAGTTAAGCTCCAGCTCTGGTTTGCTATTCTGAAGCTCTGTTTCTCCACTGACTGTTGGGAAGTGGGAGGCGTAAGATGAGTAGATTTCCAGTTTGGACACCTAAAGTATAGATGCCTAGAATAGAGAATGTGACTACCCCCCAACTCAAAATGTGCCCATTTTATTCATCTGAATATTCACATTGACTACAGTTTTTCTTTTACCTCTACATGCTGTAGAATACAATGCGATGCAACACCCGGTGCTCTCAGGAGACTTGGGTTCTGCCATCGGCCTGTGGGATGCAGGGGGGTAACCTGCTTTACTTCTCTGTTTCTCTTTTTCTCAGGCGTCAAGCTCTAAAGCATCCTACTGCCTTACCCCTACCATCGGTTACGTGACAGGGTACAGTTAGTGGTGTCAAAAGGGAAAGGGTGTGACACGGGCTTCATCTGGGAAATTTTAATATCCTCTCATGAGGGTCATGTCAAAACAACTTGGAAGTAAAATATGCTGCTGCTGAAAGGAGTCCTAATACCAGTGAAGGCAATATAATGGTCAAGCACCCCAAAAGCAAAGGTGGTATCCAGATAATGTCACTGACTGACAATAACCTGGTTTGATTCTCATGATATGTGTAGTCTTTGGAGAGTCCTTGTGTGACCAGGAGCACTGGGGGAGTAGATAGCAAAGGAGCAGGTGTATTCAGGCTGCAGAAATGTGCAGTAATACATACCAGCAAAGCAACACCAGTTTTTGCTCTCAGATAAATATGTACCTTCCACTCACGTCAGTGGAAGTTTACCAGACATTATTGCACCTGGCATTATTACCATGTAAATGATGCCTAATTTACCTGGCATTCTTTACACTTACAAAGTGTCTCATGAAACACTGGAAATGCAATAATCAAACCCACCTAACTCAGTTCTGTGTCTCTATCAGCCCGGTTCTGAGTGTCCTTTGCTAGACCTGTCCAGTTTACTGCGCAGTATAGTGTGTTGCTTATGGCAACAAGCAGACAGACTAGGCGATGGAGAAGGATAAATTTAAATTAGGGATGCACTTGCATGCCTCAGACAGACTGACTTTTTTGAATATGTGGAAATAATCTGATGAAGCTCTGAAAGGTATGTATTTTACTAGGGTCTTATATGCAGGCAGAACTAAGTGTTATTTTAAACTGTGTTTTCAATTAAGAAACGTAAAACAAAGTAGAGAAAATTCTGTCTCAGGCTAGTCACACTCAACTGCCAGTGACATCACAAGGAACCTCTGATTTCCACTTCTGGACTGAAAGCAGATTTATTTGCTCTGCTTTTAGAATACGCACATGCAGAGATGCTAATGCTAGCCAAGAGGGTTAATCCAAAGCCTGCTGGCATCCACGGCCTTTATAGCAGTTATAAAAGATTGCGTCCATGCTGAATGAGAAAGTTGTTCCACATCACAATACTGTGTGAAGAATGCTGGAGTCTTTCTGTTTATTAAGTAGAACTGTTTTCATTAATTAGGAGGTAATTGTCAATGACTCTTTGTGCTCTCAGTGTGGAACTCACTGGACTGTTTAAAACTTTCACAGAGTAAATGGGATGCACAGAAAATGTCCACAAAAGAAGTCACCATTAATGTTACAAAAAGCATCAGACAAAGTGACAGAAGGAAAGCAAAGAATTGTGTCAATTAATGAAGCAAAGTGCAAGTGAGGATGGACCTAACAATGCTTCGTTGCACTTTAAATGTCATCAGTCGCTGAAGATATGAAGATCTCCAGATGTTCCATGGTGAATACAGCAGGCAGGTGCTGCTGAGTGCCTTCAGAAACATGTCTTGTAGAAACCAGCTGCAGACGCTGTAGGATGTTCAGATGTCATTTGTCGAAAGCAGTGCCACTGCACAGACGTATGCCAAAATTCGTGCCATTTGGTTTTTAGTAAGTCCTCTGTTATCTCCTTGTGCATGTCTTGTTCTGCATTGCTGTTAGGATGAGGCTGGACGATGAGAGGTACAGTTCATCGCAATTTAAAACACAAAATGAATGAATGAATCTGCATTTTCAGTCGTAAGGGGTTTCGAGTGTGTACATTCAAACCCAGGGAGTTCATTTAAAGAGCTTGCTTTCATAAAACTGAAACCCAGAGATCTCAGAAAGAGACACACAGGTGGCTTCCATTAAGTCTGTTTTAAACTATATATATCAGTTATATATAGTTAAGTCATATCGTAACCTTTTTATATATTAACCCTTTAATTAGTTTTAAATTATTTTCTGTATTGACAGAATTTACGTCTTAAAAACAGTAACTTTCATACTGATCAGCCTTACTTGAAGTTCCTAGTCTTAGCTGGCAGGTAGGGTTCTGGCTACTTTGTTATTTCATACATGCCCTTTTAATTATATTGAGGCCCAGACTGATTTGGAAAAAAGTGATCACTAACATTACATTACAATAACCATAATTCTTAAAACAATATTCCAATGACAGCTCCAAAAATTGACTTTATTTGATCAGATGTAGTTGATTTGCTGTGCAGAACTTACTTAATTGCATTGTAAGCATCCTCTATCATAGTACTCCACGTTTATCATATACAACTAAAGGGAATATAAATGTTCAGTTTAGTAAAGACCAGGAATTAATTCAACATATTACTTCTTAATATAGAAGTAATAATATATATCCTCTGTGAGTTTGCACATTTATGAAGATAAAACAAGTAAATTTATTTGCCTCCCCCATCAGACATATGTGACTATCATTAGAGGGCCATTTAAAATAACTATTCAAAAGTTGTTAATAACAAACAGATGGCATTGAGAAGAAAATCCATGTATGAACTGCAAGAAGTCCTTTTTACACATAGGCAAAGAATTATAAATAGAATTGTGGGACTGAATCCTAATTTTTTCCATATTAAGATCATTTTAATAACTTGCTGCTAGGTGTGTGAGTACTTAATACCTTCCTTGGGGTACAACAAGTCTATGCAATAGGAATTGTTTATTAACTATTCTGACACAAAGGCAAACTGAAATCCAGAGTCAGTGCAAGATTTTTGCATACAATAGCATATGTATAAGAAATATTTATTTTTAGATGTCCTAGAAAGGGGCAAAGAACTTGTGCTAAGGTTTCTGCAGGTCAGTGTGGTAAGTGATCTTGTGCTGCCCATTTACGTAGAAGAACTAATAAATATTGAAAATAGCATTGTACGGGTAAGACAACGGCAGCCTGTGTATGTCCTTCCAACTTGTGGCTCTTCGCCAACTTGCTGGGAACATCATAGGAGAGGAAGGGACTTGACTCACTCTAACAATAAACAGTGGCTGTAGCAGCTGAGCAATATTAATTTAGGAATGGACAGCCGTTGTTGGTGGCCGTGTACTGACCTAATTGAAAGCATGCGTTCAGGATTCTGCATTATTTGCGTAGAGCAGAAGATGAACTATTTCAGATCTGTGCCAGACTTGTAACCCGCTTCTGTTTCAAAGGATTTACTGGCAGAGAGAGTGCAGTATAAACCCGTATGATACAGGAAAGCTACAGAAAGTGATCAGTGATGCTGGTGTGTGAAAGGGTAGCGGGGAATTTGAAGGGAGGCAAAAGGGAAGGTTCATTGTGTAAGAAGCTGTTCCACAGATAGTTGCCTTGGATGGATACTACGTTAGGGTGAGTAGATACAAGAACAAAGGTGTCCTGGCAGTGAGATTATTTACTAGCTAAGAAATTATTTCGTAGTGATGTCCTGACCAGATGCATCTGATGGCTTGGGTCCCACAACAGAAGCAAGCATGCAGTGCTGCATAGCGCATCAATATGAGAAACAGCCCTAGCTGCATGTCAGCAGTCAGCAGGGAGGCAGTATTTGAGTCTCGTATTCAGTGGGGGATGTGACAGGATGGTTAGCAGGAGATGGCCTTGGTACATAATTATCTGGGCAATACTACAGACCTTGCTTATGTTGACCACATCCCCCATCAGGGTGGCAGCTGTGGAGCGGTGAAGGCTGACTGCCCTGGATGACCCCTCTGTCTGCTCATGATAACTTTCCTGAGCTACTTCAAGATCCCATAAACCTGTTTATATCGTGAAACTTTAGGGCATTCGAAGACTGGATCCAACTTCTGTGGTACAAACCATGTCTAGTTACAAGAAATTTTATAAGCTCTTCTTATGTAACACATTACTGTTCTTATTCATTAGGTGGTGACAGAAAAGAAATTACACCATGTCTTAGGTGGCTTCATAGTTCTTGATGCATAAGCTTCCAATGATCTTCATAAAACTAAGAGCGCGTTGTGGAGATGTGGATCCTGCCTCTGTACATAGATGATAGGATTATATTTATGTTTTCTTTACTTTCCTTCTACTAGAGACAGCCACCAGTAGAAACAACCAATTTGTTTATAAAATAATATACCACTGTATAATCAAGGGTGACAGAATCTAGTGTATACTGCTTAAGACAATTTAAAGTCCTAAAAACAGATTCCTGTGCTGGTTTTAGTGGAAGAAGCAAGCTCAAAGAATCATCTGGACATCTTCACTCCCAAGTGGCCTTCCTAGGGGTGAAGAGTCTTATTTACAGGGTCTGTTTTTCGAGTAGCATCTTTCAAATACAAAAAGGCTCAAATGCAGGAAATATAATAACCATGTTAGAAGACATAGGCTTTTAGACAGGGGACCTGCAGGCATCTCTCTCTTCTTATATGACAGGATTTTTGAAATGTAATTTTCCTCCAAAAGATATTATGCCACTTAATTTGTTCGATGTCCCTTGGCTGCACACGAGGATTTCTACAGCGACACTGAAACAACACGCTTTCTGCTGGAATGATTTGCCAACATCTGGTGAGTTTTTATGATTTACCTGAGTTCAGGTTTTAAACAGAAACAAACTTACTTTGTCATGTTTCCATAATTCCAATACAACATATAGATAGGATTTTCCTCTGATGTGTATATACATGTAAAATACATTTTCTTCCACTATGTGAGAAATGGAATCACTCAAAAGAAAGTGGACATTGAATAAAGAAGAGAGAGAATTTACAGTTACCAACAGACATCATTAAGCAAATGCATCTTCTCAAAGACTCGGTGCAATTTTGTCTTTCAGTATTCCTTCATCTTGTCCCTTATGCTTCCTTAATGTATTTCATCATTTCACCATTACTGTAGGACATTGACTGGAAGACATGCAATTTTACTGTATGACAGAAATGATCTTGTACTGAAAAAACAGGGAAGTATAATTATTGTGTAAGCAGTATGTGAGTACTGGGTTAAACATGCATTCTTGTTAGCTAAATGACTGAGTTGCATACAAAACAGAAAACATATTTTTCATCTTCCTAGTATGTTCATATGCATATATATCCATATGTGCATGTCTCTGCACGTGTACATTGCAGTGTCTTTAGTGTATACTTCTGTTCTGCAGTTCAGGCATGGTTTTTTGCGAACCTTTTACTTGTGTTTTTAATTCTGACGCCCAAGTGTGAAATGTTTCAATGTTTGAACTGAAATTTGTTTTACATGCCTTATGAAAAGAATGAGCTATATAATCTGTGCACAGAAATGGTGTTTGAAACAGCAGGCTTAGTTTTATTTGGAAATAATGAATAATCTATCTGAATTCAAACTAGACTAACGGGAGCATTTTTGTACTCTCATTTTATCTGCAAATTATTGAAGATTGACCTTGAACTTGAAAATGAAAATAAAGAAGATTTTTAAAGTCTCGGTTTATTACTCCATGCATTTTACACTCCTGTGTTTGTGGTTGATTTATCTTTAAGAGCTAAGACCAAAGACTGTGAAGGTATAATGAATGGTTCCCACCTCCTCTCTTCATGGAATCAGACTATTTCTGTATGTGATGCCCTCAGGCTGTGGCTCATGGACTGTGTGGTCACATCAAAGAAGCTAAAATACATATATTCCCCAGAAGAAATTGCTCTATTTGCCAAAGAGGGCTTATGAGGTCAAAATGAGAGGAATTGTACCTCTGTAATTATAAATGGGAGAGTTAGTGGTCGCTGTTATGGCTAAAGTGGAAGACATTGGGAATCTGAGACATTTTCTCTAGTAAGATGTCATATTATTGGGGGGAGAAAGGAGACCAAGAACTGAGAGTTACAGAGCCAACTCAGGGTTGCCTCTATAAATAGTAAATTCAGTAAATGCTGAGGTAATCCTTCCCCATTACACAGCCTCGGGAAGGTGCCTGCTGAAGCACTCAGCTATTTCTGGCACCACACTTTAAGAAAGTTGGAAGAGACCAGCAAAAGCAATCAGCAGCCTTGGAGGCACAGTCCCCCAGGGGAGCCTGAGGAAGGCCGCCTGCTGAGATGGAAGCATGCTTGGGGTCTTCCTTTACATTGACTGGGAAGAAGACAAGAAGAAATGGACTTAAGGGGAAGTTGGAAAGATTAATGCTAGAAAATAAAAAACTTTGAGGATCAATAAGTATTTGACAGATTGTCTAGGAAAGTTTATTAAGATCACAGTAGACAGATAGCTGTTGCGTGGTGTAGGGGCAACTGATTCCTCCCTTCATGTGTTGTTCTATCACAACTGTCCTGGTTTTGGCTGGGGCAGAGTTAATTTTCTTCTTAGTAGCTGGTATAGTGCTGTGTTTTGGATTTAGTGTGAGAATAATGTTGATAATACACTGATGTTT